TTCTAATTTAATTTACAGCTTTTGGAATAAAAGGACCACTGAGTAAATATGAGCAACAGTCACACACTGGGTCCTAAGGTAGGGTATGACTATAAAACATCTTGTGCGAAAGCAAGAAAATGTTTACATGTCCTTATAAAGAAAGTTCCTTTAAAGCATTCTGCAATTTAAGTTTCTTTTTACAACTTTGGAGACAGCAGGAAAACTAAGATAAATACTTAAAACAAATTCTACCTACCACATGGAGTGTCCCAGATTTTCATCATAGTAATACAGCAGTTCAAAGGAGTCTATCTGTGGAGAGATTTGAGATGTGTTAGACACCTGATTACCTCTGGGCTGGGGCAGCACAGCCACAGACCAGGGGCTGTGTCCTTTGAGATCTTCGTGCTATTGTTAGTCAGTCTGACCAAAAAAGACATTGAAACATGTTTCTAATCCATGTCAGAAATCAGGCACTACCCTGTAGACACTTCATTGACACAAAGGGCAGCAGATTTCTTATAACAGTGGAAGTAAGCTACCTGCATTATCTCTGCCACTACTGTATATGGAGAGCAAAGGAGAGAAATTGCAAATATTTCGAGTTTTTAACAATTGTGCTCAGAATCTAGTGACAAATTTAATCAAGTAACATCAGACAACGAGTAACATATGTTTTGCAGCCCTATATGTATGAGAAATTGTCTTCCTGTGAATGTCGATATGCTGTAGTTGAACTTGATATGAGGACTTCAACTCTGAACTCTTACTCTTCATTACAACTGGGCCTTCGAATGTGCAGTTCAATGGCCTTCTCTCTTCTTAAAGGAACCCACTGAAATCCTGCCTCGGGTCCGGAACAAGTACAGTTTTTCAGAGGCCTGGGGAGCCAGCCGGCTCTGCGCACGCTGGGGACGTACCAGGCTCTCAGGCTTGAGGCTCTTGATGATGGGGTTGTCGCGGACGGACAGGTGCAGCTGGTAGCCACTCAGGATGAGCCGGTGGTTGATGGAGTCGCCCACCAGGTGGATGCTGGCGCCCATGACGAAGGTGATGATGCACAGGTAGACGGCAGAGTGCGGCAGGGTCTTGGGGCTGCGCTCGATTAGCTGCTCAGGCAGAGGAGGAGGCAGAGAGAGAGGGACAAAACCCAGGAGTGAAGTTGATTTTCCTAGAACTCACTGCCACCCTGCACCTGCACATTCAGATTTTCCCCACTCTTCAAAAATAGAACGATGCACCACTCATTTCAAAGGTAATGAGGTAATGCCCACCCCCCCATCTTTTAACCATTTTATCCAATACAGGGTCACAGGGGAGCCGGAGCCTGTCCTATCCCAGCATGCAATTGGCACAAGACAGGATACACCCTTGACATGTCACATGCACATGCACTCATGCCAGTTTTCCCAGAAACCAATTATCCTACCGGCCTCTAGTCTTTAGACTGTGGGGGGAAACCCACTGGAACACAGGAATAACATACAAACTCCACACAGACAGCACCCCAGGTACAGAACTGAAGCCAGGGCCCCAGTGCAGCGACAAGAGACAGCAATGCTCACCACTGCACCACTGTGCATTTACTTATGCACACCATCCACTAAAAGAAGCATTTAAGGGTATTGCAGAACCTTAATAAATGACATGAAATAAAGGATAGCATAATAAACAATCAAGAGGAATGACTTTATGACATGATCCCCTGGTGTGGGATGTGTAGCTGAAATGGATTATAAATATTCTTAATGGAGCTGAAATGCAGACGTTCCCACCAACTGAATCTTCCTGCCAAACCAGCTGCCACAACCAGCACTAAGCAAGTACTGAATTACAATGACAAGTGATCAATGGTCTAATTAAGGAGCTGTGTGTAACAAAGTCCAACGGGTGCCGACTGGAAGGTCATCTTGCATGTTGAGGCAGCAGTAAACAGCGGGAGATGTAAATGCCAGTGATTCTGAATCGCAGATTAAACTCCACTGGTGTTTTACCCACATGCCAGATAAATCAGGTGGCTCTGTCCTCTGGGCAATTAGTGCAGAGCAAAAGATCTAAACATAAAGTATAAAGTACTTTGAAATACACAGAATTATAAAGCCGAATCAGCTTCAGAGTCCACTGACACGAGGAAGACATTAAAGTAAACTGACCCTTGGGAAAAGGCTTCAGTGCTGTATAGGGTTTGGAATTAAAGTCCACAAGAGATGATGCAGAAGTGGTGCAAAATTCCAGTCTTTGTGTTCTCGTTCAACCTCTTCTGCTAATAACCAAATTGTCCTAATCAATTAGCTTAACCGGACAAATGGGACACTTTCTGAAGGTCTTCATGAAAAGAGAAAACGTGTTACAATACATAAGGAATTGCATACCCATGCACTAGAGAAGCCTACTTGATCTTGTGATCACCACTGCAGCACTGAATTTCGCTATAGCTGTATCCCCAATCACTTTAATAATAATAATACTACTAATACTACTACTACTAATAATAATAATAATAATTGCTTACACATATATAGCGCTTTTCTGGACACTCCACTCAAAGCGCTTTACAGGTAATGGGGACTCCCCCCCCCCACCACCACCACCTTTACTGGTGATTAAGTGGAAGATGACAATAATCGAGTTAAAGGTACCCCCATAGAGAGGACTTCAGGCTGAGTAACCTGGACCGAGTGGGAACAGAACACAGTTTGAGGAACAGAGGTTCCAGACCCAGCGTTTCTAGTTACCTTGAGGAGCAGGAAGGGAGTGATGATGTTGTAGGCCATGTGAAAATAATCACCAGCGCTGGGCTTGTTCAGGGGGAACCACTCCAGTGGCAAGACAATCTGAAATTGCACAGAAATCAGACTGTTTTCACGGCAGCTGA